TCTAACCTCCTCTCGTTTCAAAAAATCGTTCCCGTCGCTCCTCCAAGCTCCTCCAAGCTCATCTTGATTTCACATCTCACCACCACTATTTGCCTCCTCCCTCATCCCAAACGAAAGTTGTTTTTTTTGGAGGAGGCTCTTGCGTAGCCATATTTGGCGCACGTAATACAAATGTGAATTGTTTATAAATGAGATTTGAGGGAAGTGGAAATGATTTCAGTGATTGATGACGATTGGATATCTTTAAATAGTAATGTTTGATATTAAATAGACTGGATAAGAGCAGAAGTAACTGGAGGTGAGAACAGCGAACAAGCTAAATTTTTTGACATGTGTGAAAGCTGCTACCTAACACAACACGTGAAAAACTTCACTAGATCAAGAGGTGATGATGAACCATCAACACTGGATCTGGTGCTGACAAAAGATGTAATGGAAGTTGAAGATGTGCGGGTTTGTTCCCGTCGCTCCTCTAACCTCCTCCAAGCTCCTCTAACCTCCTCTCGTTTCAAAAAATCGTTCCCGTCGCTCCCAAGGCGTCGCTCCTCCAAGCTCCTCCAAGCTCATCTTGATTTCACATCTCACCACCACTATTTGCCTCCTCCCTCATCCCAAACGAAAGTTGGTTTTTTGGAGGAGGCTCTTGCGTAGACATATTTGGCGCACGTAATACAAATGTGAGTTGTTTATAAGCTCGGGGTTACATGAGCAGAGTTAATACGCATTACAAACGGACTACAATGGTGAGCGAATAGGAAAATCCGTTCCTGATACGTATTTACTTGCTCATGTAACCCCGGTATAAATGAGATTTGAGGGAAGTGGAAATGATTTTAGTGATTGATGACGATTGGATATCTTTAAATAGTAATGTTTGATATTAATCTGAGGTTATTTTATTAGAAACCGATTATTATCTCTTGATTTATGTTTGCGCGCCATAAATCGCCGACCGTTACAGCCCGCAAACAGCTGATTTCCTCGCGAAAATGTTCCCGTGGCTCCTCTGAAACGGCTCTCCTCCAAGCTCATCCAACCTCATCCGAGATTTTTTGGGAGGAGCGACGGGAACAGACCGTACAAGTCCCCAGTTGGCTCTAGTGACCATTGTGTGCTAACATAGTTTTCATGTTGAATGTTCTGAGAGGATTGCTCACAGTGAAAACAACCACCATAAGAGAAACTATCATAAGGGCTCATACAATGAAGCAATTAGAATGTTTGATGCCATCAACTGGGAGGAGGAGCTTCAAGATAAGGGTGTGGAAGAGGCATGGAGTACTTTTATGGAGCACTTTAACTGTGTTATGAATAAGACAATACCATTACATCCCCAGAAAACAAAGAGTAATCACAAGAAGTGGACCAACAAACCTTTAACCCGCGCCCCAGTGGCGGTCTCCGCCAACTTCGCCCTAGTGGGGGGGGGGGGGGGCATATGTTACCACCCACCTCTAACTCAAAAACTAAGAGGGCTATAAAGACGCGGTAAAAAGCAGTCGATAGCTCTTGATGCGTACGTTTGAAAGTATTTCGGTCATTTTTCATCTTAGAGCAATATTGGGGTCACCAGAGGTCATCAAAGGTCAAAATTTGCGAATTGTCATTATATTTTTCAGAAAACGTGCCATTATCTCAGGAACTATGATAGCTAGAAAAGCGCTGGGAAAAGCAATCGATAGCTTTTGAACTCTTCTTTTGATAAAGTCATCATCAAAAATGACCTCAGGTCAACGGTTTAGCCTCCAGAGGGCAAAAACTCCAAAAATAGCTGTTTTTAAGAAAAGTGTTTTTCGACAATAACTTTTGACTAAAAAACGCTAGATCATTTCTAATGCCAGAATCGTGTTCCTCTCGCCGAGACGCGTCGAATGAACTATAATTTGACCTTGAAAGGTCAACTTCAAAATTTGACCTCAGGTCAAGGTCATGACCTGACCGGAAAAGGTCATGTTGCATATCAGTCGATGCGTCTCGGCAAGACAAACACAATGAGGCCAACCCCAGCGTTCTATCTTTTTCCAATCGAGAGTTATTGGCAAAAAAAACTGTTTGTAGCCTCAAATGACCTCGGATGACCTTTCAAGAGGCTATCAGCAAAAAAGACACCTTGGTCTTCACGGGTGGTTCAAATCATTGTTATCCTGAAATATTTGGACTGTTCCTATGCGTACACACGGATCTAGAGGCATTTTCGTTTTTCTCCATTGACTTATAATGGAAAGGTCACGCCACTGACCTGACCTTAGGTCACGCATATAAAAAATCCGAGATATACAAATTGTAGGCACTCACAACATCATGTAATCCACCAAGTTTGAAACCTCTATGACAAACACTGCAGGCTGGACATGATTGCAAACTTTTTTTTAGGCTTGGTCAGTAAACTTGACCTAGTGACCTGACCTAACATGACCTGGGGTCGAAAATTTCACACATTGTCCAAAATTGATGTACCAAAAGCTACCCCAAGCGGCGCGGCAATACGCGCCGCGGTTTTTTATTTATACGAAAAAAACGCGACAGGGTGGTAACATATGCCCCCCCCCCCCCCCCCACTGGGGCGAAGGTTAATAGAGCAAATACACAAAAAAGAAGAAGCTTGGACCAGGTTCAGGAAAAACCGTAAGTCAAAACGGTTGAGGGAAATATACACCAAAATACGCAATGAAACCACCAAGATGGTGAGGGAGGCCAAACACAACTTTGAGCACAAACTAGCTCATGAGATCAAGTCTGATCCCAGAGCTTTCTTTGCATACGCCAGGAGCAAGACATCGCTCAAGGAAGAAGTTCTGGCGGTGACCAAGGAAGATGGGAGTTTAACAACATCATTAGAAGACACGTGTGATGTAATGAACCAGAAGTTCCAGGAAGTGTTTACCGATACAGAGGGAATAGCGCCACCAACAGTGACTCATTTTACTGGACCCAAACTCGAGACATGTGATATAGACTTGGAAGAGGTAGCTGCTGTGTTACAAGGACTTAAGACACCATCAGCACCAGGACCAGATGGTGTACATCCCATCATGCTCAAAGAGTGTGCACTCAGCCTTTCAAAGCCTCTACACTACATCTTTACCAAGTTATTAGAGTCTGGGGAGCTGCCAAGAGACTGGAAACAAGCAAACGTAACGCCCATTTTCAAGAAAGGAAAGCGGACTGATCCCTTGAACTACCGCCCAGTCAGTTTGACATCTGTCGCATGCATTGCAAGACTCTTGAGAAACTGATAAGAAAGAGGGTGGTTGAACACTTGGAGACAAACAATTTATTGAGCAAGTATCAGCATGGCTTCCGTTCAAAAATGTCTTGCCTCACACAGCTATTGGAGTACTTCTTTGACCTTGAAAATGCTCTGGATGAAGGAGAGAGTGTAGATGCCCTTTACCTGGACTGCCGCAAGGCCTTTGATACGGTTCCTCATGAGCATCTAATTGTCAAGATACAAGGAATGGGCATAGATGGTCTGGTAGCAAAATGGATCACCGGCTTTCTGAGAGGACGTGAGCAGAGGGTTGTGGTGAAGGGCTGCTGCTCGGGCCTCGGGGTGGAGAGCTGTCAGAAGCGGAGTACCCCAGGGTAGTGTTTTAGGACCGACCCTCTTTCTGATATATATAGATGACCTCATGAAGAATTTGGACTCTCCAGGGAAACTCTTTGCAGATGACGCAAAAATCTGCAGAAGGATTGGAGGCCCCAGAGATGGAGTCATTCTGCAAGAGGACATTTGCAAACTGGAAGTGTAGAGTCAAATATGGTTACTGGATTTCAACAAGGACAAATGCAAGGTGATGCATTTTGGTCCCAAGAATCCTGGCTATAACTACTCTCTGAGAGGAATGACTTTAATGGAGACTGACAAAGAAAAGGATCTGGGGGTGATTGTTACTCCTGATCTCAAAGCATCCGAGCAAGTGTCCAGGGCCGCGGCAGCAGCAAACTTCACGCTGGGAAGGATAAGAAAAACCTTTACATGTATGGACAAGGAAATGTTCCTGCCCATCTACAAGGCCCTTGTATGACCTCGAATGGAGCATGCCATTCAGGCGTGGTCACCTTACCTCCAGAAGGATATTAACAAGTTGGAGAAAGTTCAAAAAGGAGAGCCACAAAACTTATACCTGGACTAGCTGCCAAACCATACAAAGTCCGTCTGGCGGAACTGAACATGACAACTCTGGAAGAGAGGAGACAAAGAGGAGACATGATAGAAGTATTTAAATTGATACATGGATTTGATATGGTCAGTGCAGGAGAAGATTTCCTGAAACTTGAAACAGACGGCCACAGGGAAAGGACACGAGGGCACACTCTGAAACTCCGGAAGCCGAGGCATCGCACATTTAAACGTAATATGTTCTTTTCATCAAGAATTATTGAACGGTGGAATAAGTTGCCTGAAGAAGTTGTAACGAGCAAGAATGTTAACATTTTCAAGAACAAGTACGACAAACACATCAAGAAGACTACGGAGAGGCAGCATCCTATGAGCATCCTGCTCCCTTTGCCTCTTACAGATCTACTTGGTAAGCATCTACTTGGTAAGCACACAAACTTTCAAATATGTGACGTCACAGCCCAAAATTACCTCCTTCCCCAGGCCACATTACTGTCATAAAGCTGATTCTTTTTACTCTGTAGGCACCACAACAAAGTTCAGACCAAGTTTTAAGAGATTTTTCAACAAACAAACCCATTTAAATCAGAATGACTAAACGAGGTGACGTCACACTAACGGTCGCTCCATGTTGAAGATAGGGCCTTGTACAAGGCCCATTTTCAAATGAAGGGAACAAATTTCTTCAACACCAAGAGGCCGCGGGGGTTGCAACCTAGATAGATAGTGGTTTCTGAACCTCGCCGCAAACTTGGCTATCTCAACTCAAACCCCATGTTAAAGGTGGGATAGTCCCTTTAAGGGAGCGCCATATAGACAGTTACAGGTTTGTTGCATAATTTTCATGAATAAAAAGATGCTAAATGAGGGTACAGACCCAACAACTCACCGGCACCAGAGCTCTGTTCGCACCCCGTTTATTTATCAGCAGGCTGCGACCATGCTGCTGCTTCTTGGCTCCTCATTGGTCGAATTCAAGTGGTGTATTCGTTAGACCAATGAGAGGCCAAGCCGCGCCAGCAATAACTTCCTTATATGGGGAAAACCGACAGCACGCTGATATAAAAACGGCGAGCGAACAGGGCCCCTGACTGAGAACGAAAGAAAGTTACGCTCAAGATGTAACGGAAGTTAGCCCACATTCAGCCCACATTCGGCCCAGCCCAGATTGGGGCTGCCAAATCTAGGGAAAAATCTAGAAATATAGGGAAAAATCTAAAAACCGTTTTACGCCTAAACGGCTGGACGAAACTGAAAAATAAGACCACCATTTGAAAGATCTCTTCACCCCGGACCTAATGATATGGTTAAATACCGGATCAATTTAACCAAAAGCATGATTTAACAAGGATGAAAATTTTCGGTCAATGGGGCGGCCCCTACGATTTTCTTCAAAATCGGCATGGTGATACTACAGGCCGAGATGATCAATCTGGCTGAAGAAACCCCTATGGGCATTGAAATCTATGGGGTAAAAACGCCCTTGGAAAGTTTTACCCACGCATTTCTGGCAAGTGTATCGCACGCATCCCCCAAATATGGGTATCATATGAAAGCCCATGAAAACCCAAACAAAATGGTGGGGTAAAATTTACCCATTACCCCATCCAGGGTAAAGTTTACCCAAGTTGAAAATTTTCGGTCAATGGGGCGGCCCCTACGATTTTCTTCAAAATCGGCATGGTGATACTACAGGCCGAGATGATCAATCTGGCTGAAGAAACCCCTATGGGCATTGAAATCTATGGGGTAAAAACGCCCTTGGAAAGTTTTACCCACGCATTTCTGGCAAGTGTATCGCACGCATCCCCCCAATATGGGTATCATATGAAAGCCCATGAAAACCCAAACAAAATGGTTGGGTTAAATTTACCCATTACCCCATCCAGGGTAAAGTTTACCCAAGATGAAAATTTTCGGTCAATGGGGCGGCCCCTACGATTTTCTTCAAAATCGGCATGGTGATACTACAGGCCGAGATGATCAATCTGGCTGAAGAAACCCCTATGGGCATTGAAATCTATGGGGTAAAAACGCCCTTGGAAAGTTTTACCCACGCATTTCTGGCAAGTGTATCGCACGCATCCCCCCAATATGGGTATCATATGAAAGCCCATGAAAACCCAAACAAAATGGTGGGGTAAAATTTACCCATTACCCCATCCAGGGTAAAGTTTACCCAAGATGAAAATTTTCGGTCAATGGGGCGGCCCCTACGATTTTCTTCAAAATCGGCATGGTGATACTACAGGCCGGGATTCATCTTGGGTAAACTTTACCCTGGATGGGTAATGGGTAAATTTTACCCCACCATTTAGTTTGGGTTTTCATGGGCTTTCATATGATACCCATATTGGGGGGATGCGTGCGATACACTTGCCAGAAATGCGTGGGTAAAACTTTCCAAGGGCGTTTTTACCCCATAGATTTCAATGCCCATAGGGGTTTCTTCAGCCAGATTGATCATCTCGGCCTGTAGTATCACCATGCCGATTTTGAAGAAAATCGTAGGGGCCGCCCCATTGACCGAAAATTTTCATCTTGGGTAAACTTTACCCTGGATGGGGTAATAGGTAAATTTTACCCTACCATTTTGTTTGGGTTTTCATGGGCTTTCATATGATACCCATATTGGGGCGATACGTGCGATACACTTGCCAGAAATGCGTGGGTAAAACTTTCCAAGGGCGTTTTTACCCCATAGATTTCAATGCCCATAGGGGTTTCTTCAGCCAGATTGATCATCTCGGCCTGTAGTATCACCATGCCGATTTTGAAGAAAACCGTAGGGGCCGCCCCATTGACCGAAAATCTTCATCTTGGGTAAACTTTACCCTGGATGGGGTAATGGGTAAATTTTACCCCACCATTTTGTTTGGGTTTTCATGGGCTTTCTTATGATACCCATATTTGGGGGATGCGTGCGATACACTTGCCAGAAATGCGTGGGTAAAACTTTCCAAGGGCGTTTTTACCCCATAGATTTCAATGCCCATAGGGGTTTCTTCAGCCAGATTGATCATCTCGGCCTGTAGTATCACCATGCCGATTTTGAAGAAAATCGTAGGGGCCGCCCCATTGACCGAAAATTTTCATCTTGGGTAAACTTTACCCTGGATGGGTTAATTGGTAAATTTTACCCCACCATTTTGTTTGGGTTTTCATGGGCTTTCTTATGATACCCATATTGGGAGGATGCGTTGCGATACACTTGCCAGAAATGCGTGGGTAAAACTTTCCAAGGGCGTTTTTACCCCATAGATTTCAATGCCCATAGGGGTTTCTTCAGCCAGATTGATCATCTCGGCCTGTAGTATCACCATGCCGATTTTGAAGAAAACCGTAGGGGCCGCCCCATTGACCGAAAATCTTCATCTTGGGTAAACTTTACCCTGGATGGGGTAATGGGTAAATTTTACCCCACCATTTGTTTGGGTTTTCATAGGCTTTCTTATGATACCCATATTTGGGGGATGCGTGCGATACACTTGCCAGAAATGCGTGGGTAAAACTTTCCAAGGGCGTTTTTACCCCATAGATTTCAATGCCCATAGGGGTTTCTTCAGCCAGATTGATCATCTCGGCCTGTAGTATCACCATGCCGATTTTGAAGAAAATCGTAGGGGCCGCCCCATTGACCGAAAATTTTCATCTTGGGTAAACTTTACCTGGATGGGTTAATTGGTAAATTTTACCCCACCATTTTGTTTGGGTTTTCATGGGCTTTCTTATGATACCCATATTGGGGGGGATGCGTGCGATACACTTGCCAGAAATGCGTGGGTAAAACTTTCCAAGGGCGTTTTTACCCCATAGATTTCAATGCCCATAGGGGTTTCTTCAGCCAGATTGATCATCTCGGCCTGTAGTCACCATGCCGATTTTGAAGAAAATCGTAGGGCCGCCCCATTGACCGAAAATTTTCATCTTGGGTAAACTTTACCCTGGATGGGGTAATGGGTAAATTTTACCCCACCATTTTGTTTGGGTTTTCATGGGCTTTCATATGATACCCATATTGGGGGGATGCGTGCGATACACTTGCCAGAAATGCGTGGGTAAAACTTTCCAAGGGCGTTTTTACCCCATACATTTCAATGCCCATAGGGGTTTCTTCAGCCAGATTGATCATCTCGGCCTGTAGTATCACCATGCCGATTTTGAAGAAAACCGTAGGGGCCGCCCCATTGACCGAAAATCTTCATCTTGGGTAAACTTTACCCTGGATGGGGTAATGGGTAAATTTTATCCCACCATTTTGTTTGGGTTTTCATGGGCTTTCTTATGATACCCATATTTGGGGATGCGTGCGATACACTTGCCAGAAATGCGTGGGTAAAACTTTCCAAGGGCGTTTTTACCCCATAGATTTCAATGCCCATAGGGGTTTCTTCAGCCAGATTGATCATCTCGGCCTGTAGTATCACCATGCCGATTTTGAAGAAAATCGTAGGGGCCGCCCCATTGACCGAAAATTTTCATCTTGGGTAAACTTTACCCTGGATGGGTTAATTGGTAAATTTTACCCCACCATTTTGTTTGGGTTTTCATGGGCTTTCATATGATACCATATTGGGGGGATGCGTGCGATACACTTGCCAGAAATGCGTGGGTAAAACTTTCAAAGGGCGTTTTTACCCATAGATTCAATGATAGGGGTTTCAGCCAGATTGATCATCTCGGCCTGTAGTATCACCATGCCGATTTTGAGAAAATCGTAGGGGCCGCCCCATTGACCGAAAATTTTCATCTTGGGTAAACTTTACCCTGGATGGGGTAATGGGTAAATTTTACCCCACCATTTTGTTTGGGTTTTCATGGGCTTTCATATGATACCCATATTGGGGGGATGCGTGCGATACACTTGCCAGAAATGCGTGGGTAAAACTTTCCAAGGCCGTTTTTACCCCATAGATTTTAATGCCCATAGGGGTTTCTTCAGCCAGATTGATCTCGGCCTGTAGTATCACCATGCCGATTTTGAAGGAAATCGTAGGGGCCGCCCCATTGACCGAAAATTTTCATCTTGGGTAAACTTTACCCTGAATGGGGTAATGGGTAAATTTTACCCCACCATTTTGTTTGGGTTTTCATGGGCTTTCATATGATACCCATATTGGGGGGATGCGTGCGATACACTTGCCAGAAATGCGTGGGTAAAACTTTCCAAGGGCGTTTTTACCCCATAGATTTCAATGCCCATAGGGGTTTCTTCAGCCAGATTGATCATCTCGGCCTGTAGTATCACCATGCCGATTTTGAAGGAAATCGTAGGGGCCGCCCCATTGACCGAAAATTTTCATCTTGGGTAAACTTTACCCTGGATGGGGTAATGGGTAAATTTTACCCCACCATTTTGTTTGGGTTTTCATGGGCTTTCATATGATACCCATATTGGGGGATGCGTGCGATACACTTGCCAGAAATGCGTGGGTAAAACTTTCCAAGGCCGTTTTTACCCCATAGATTTTAATGCCCATAGGGGTTTCTTCAGCCAGATTGATCATCTCGACCTGTAGTATCACCATGCCGATTTTGAAGGAAATCGTAGGGGCCGCCCCATTGACCGAAAATTTTCATCTTGGGTAAACTTTACCCTGGATGGGTAATGGGTAAATTTTACCCCACCATTTTGTTTGGGTTTTCAGGGGCTTTCATATGATACCCATAATGGGGGGATTCGTGCGATACACTTGCCAGAAATGCGTGGGTAAAACTTTCCAAGGGCGTTTTTACCCCATAGATTTCAATGCCCATAGGGGTTTCTTCAGCCAGATTGATCATCTCGGCCTGTAGTATCACCATGCCGATTTTGAAGAAAATCGTAGGGGCCGCCCCATTGACCGAAAATTTTCATCTTGGGTAAACTTTACCCTGGATGGGGTAATGGGTAAATTTTACCCCACCATTTTGTTTGGGTTTTCAGGGGCTTTCATATGATACCCATAAGGGGGATGCGTGCGATACACTTGCCAGAAATGCGTGGGTAAAACTTTCC